ATACAGGTATTTATATATAGTACAAAAGTGTAATATTTATAGTATAACAGTATAGTATTTTTATCCACCATTATTTCTAGTTATAACAAGCAGCTTCAGAGATGTAAAATATATTTACTGTGCAATATCTGAAGTGCTTTTCATTGGTCTGTGGAAAAAGCAGATATAGTAAACAGTACCATGACATCTTTGGCAAAAAATGTCTCATTTTACTTTTATCTGTTCTGGGATCTGAGTTCTGCTTGCAGGATCACTCAGCTCAGTTTAAACTTTCTAATAAAAACTATCCAACCTGGGAGCCTTGTTACATTGATAGGCTGATTGTGGCTTAGTCATTGTGCAGTTTTGCTGTCTTCTTTCAACAATTGCTTATTCAGTCCTATTAAATTCTATTAGTAAATAAGCAAAAATTAGAGGGAGCGGTGGTTCTTTTAAATATATGTAAGTAGACAAATACTTAAGAGCCCAGAAGTGCAAATAATGGTTCTCTCTGCCCTATCTCCTGATTTATTGTGCAGAGATATTTAGTAATAGCTATTCTATAAAGGAAAAATAAAGGACTATTGATTTTCTGAATAACAGATTTATCTTGATTTGTGGCCATATTTAATCCCCATCCATTTTCACTCTGTAATTCTGAGTATTATAATTTGTGCTTGGCCTCACATTCCCTTTCATTTTAATTTTTCCTTCATCACTGCAAGAATTTTCATACATTTTAATATCCAATACTCTCTGAAGTATTCTGAAAATTCTGAAGTTTTCCAGCAGAGCGTACAAATAAATGATCCATATTGTGCATACAATATGGGGTGGAAAGGGAGAGGAAGGAGAAGAAGATTGGTAGAGGAAGGGAGAAAGGGAAGGGAGTGGAGAAATGAAGATGGAAGGAAAGAAAAAAAGAGGAAGAGGCAAGGGCACTAAAGATGAAAACGATCAGAGATGGGAAGAGGAGGGGGGAGATCAGAAAGGAAAAAGAAAAATGGAAGCGGGGAGAATGAATTCTGGCAAGACGACAGAAAATGAACAGAAGGCAGGAAGGGATGGAACAGGGAAAAAGTTGGGTGAAAGAAAGGAAAAGATTCTGAAGAACAGATAAAATTATGTTCTATGGCTGTAACTTTGCCCACTTAATTGGGAATAAAACTTGCTCATTTGCATTTTTGTTCCATGCTTGCCATAAGTCCACAATGAAGTTCACCAATAAAGAAAGCAATTTAAAATTAGTAGCAGGTGGCTTTCAAATCATCCATTATCCCCAGCAGGCAGTAAAAGCAATCAGCTAACAGACAAAATCCCTGGATATACACTCCAAATGAAGTTTATTGCATAGAGCAGGGCTGTCAAACTCCTGGCCCACAGGCCAAATATATCACGTGTTGCCCACACCCAGTTTAGCAAAGGGGGAAAAAGTCACAATACATCACGTGATGATGAAAATTTGACATCCCTGGCATAGAGGCTTAGATGGGCAATCTTAAGCAGCAACTTCCAGAATCGGAGCAACCATTAAAAAGGCCTTTTTTGGTGACCTTATCAAATTTAACTGTAATAAATAATGAACACTGTGGAACAGGATTTTGAAGATCTTGCAGACTTACAGAAGAATCCTGTTTGACCAACAAATAATCTATACAGCATTCTCAATCACTGAATGGTAGATCATGCAACTGAAGTTTTTCACCTACAGCTGTCTCTGGCTACAACCAGATTGTATTCAGGCATTTGAAAACCAGCATGTATTTATAATGGTTGCAACATTGTGGGATAGTGTGATTGACATTTGCGACCTTTCCAAGCTGGCTTCCAACAACCAAGTCAATAAAGGCTATCAGATTCGCTTAGTGACTGATTCATTTAACTGCAGTAATTCACTTAACAGTGGCAAAACAGTCATATAATTGGATGCAACTTACTTAACAACTGTCTTGTTTAGCAATAGAAATTCTGTTTCCCAATTGTTGTAAGTTGAGTACCGAAATTCCCAGCTAGTCCTACTTTCCATATACTTTCCAGACTGGATGTATTTATATTTATTCTGTCTACACACTGCAGAAGATCTGGGTGACTTATAATATCTATACAATTAACAGTTAAAAACACAAAATTGCTGGGCTTTTTTGCATCTTTGTGACTTTATAGCAATTTCTGAAAATTAAAGGTATACACTCAAAATCGTATCATAGACATTGGATCTGCGTTAGCTGGACTTGGAGCTTGCACATCAGTGAGTGGTTCGTGATCTATTCCATAATCAGCAGTTAACCACATCCTTGTTATTCCACCTCTCTGTACCAATAATATAGCTGATTTGTCTATGACATCTATGTATATAGATTATGTGCATGTCTATAGATGTTGCTTTGATTGCTGGAAGACTAGGTTAGCAATGAAGAAATCAACAGATTGACAGAAACTGATAGGATGATATCCTGATTCATTTCATTTCTGTTTCGTACGCCATTCAGTCTAGCTACAACTTTGGCATTAGTCTCCAACCATAAGTATCACATCTTGCTTGCATGTTTTACATCTAACTTTATATTGAACTTAGACACAAAACCTATCAATCTTATCTTTTGCATCAGTGATTGAAGCATAAACTTAGACTGTCTTATTAAAGGATTGTCTGCAAAGCTAATTGATATCATTCAGTGATTGACTTCATTGGACCCAAGTGCCATCCTTGCTATATGTTTTCTGATTACTGAAAGAAAGCATTTTGGAGGTGGTGGTCCTAAGTGGTAAACAGTATGGATGGCTGACTGAAAGTATTCAATTTCAGTTTTTGTCAATTTGGTAATGCCTAAAATGTCAATGTATAGTTCATGAATTCCATGTCTCACTATGTTAAGCTTTCCTTTGTTCATGCTTCTTTGTTCCATGTTCCCACTGAATTCAGTCTTTGTAGCTCCGGATTGTGTTTTTTTCCTGCATGACCACATCAGCAACTAGAGATCCAGACTTAATCTAATCATGGTATACCATTAGTACTTTAAAAGATAATCTGAAATAATGTATTGTATTTGAGGGCCCATCATCCAGCACTATCATCATCAATCACTTCATATTTTTATACACATTTTTCTGCCATTGCCTTCTCCTGTGCAGTATGAAATGAACTTTCTCACTGTCATTAAAATGATCGTCTGCCTTCAACATTTTTCTACATCACTGCTGTTCAATATACAGTAGGCACCATGCTTGTTTTAGTCAGGCAGCAGAGATGACTTTCATGACTTGGGGATTATAGATATACTCTTGGCATACATTCCTAGCTTTCTTTATTCAGCCCTGCAAGAACCACCACCACCATCATCATGTCTGTGGAGATTCTCAGTCATCCAGGTCATGATTGTCCCAAAAGTGCTTTTTCAAGAGGCAACTGGATTTTTGTTTTTCCTTGAAAATGGTTAGCTTCTCATCCAAGCAGCTTCTCATCCAAACATACTAACTAGAGCATACAAAACATTTGCTTGACCAATACTTGAATACAGCTCATCAGTCTGGAACCCGCATTACGTATCTGATATTAATACAGTTGAAAAAGTCCAGAAATATTTCACAAGAGTTCTCCTCTACTCGTTGCAGAATACCTTATGCCACCAGACTTGAAATTCTAGACCTAGACAACTAGAACTATGCCACCTTTGGTCCGATCTTAGTACATAAAATTATACATTGCAATGTCCTACCTGTCAAATTAATACTTCAGCTTCAGCCATAACAATACAAGAGCACACAATAGATACAAACTCAAGGTAAACCGCACCAAACTTGATTGCAGGAAATACGACTTCAGCAGCAGGAGGGGTCAATGTCTGGAATACTCTACCTGACTCTGGTTTTTTCCCCCAAACCCAAAAACTTTTAACCTTAGACTTTCTACTATTGACCTCGCCCACTTCCTAAGAGGCCTGTAGGGGGCGTGCATAAGCGCACCAATGTGCCTACCGTCCCTGTCCTATTTCTTTTTTTTCTTTTTTTCTTATATGTATCCATTTCATGTATTCATAACCATGTTTATACTTATACCTGTTATCTTATAATCGCTGAAAGAAAGAAAGAAAGAAAGAAAGAAAGAAAGAAAGAAAGAAAGAAAGAAAGAAAGAAAGAAAGAAAGAAAGAAAGAAAGTCCGGCTGCCTCTTGAAAAAGCATCATTGGGACACCACGGGCAATGTAGCAGGACTCATTACATGTTTGTCAGTCATACATTATTATGAGAATTCCAAACATGGTCGGTTTTTACTAAAGAATAGTTAAATAAAACATGCAAACTTGTTGTGACAGCAAACCGTGTCTACTGAAAGAAGCGAATCGATGACCTTGCTGTAAAGAAAGCAACCGCAAGTTAATCTCTTTGAAGGCAAGCGGGCTGAGTTAGGTTCACTTTAAAACGGCGGTTCTCTACGTGCTTATTCGACCTGAAGAGATACCAGATTCGGGCTGCAAAAACCTTTAAAATTCCTAGATGGCAGCAAAATTACAATTTTGTGCTTCTTCCTGCCATCCGGCCTCCGGATTTTGCAGTACGTAGCCATACGTAAATTCCACAGGGCCATAAGGCAGAGACGGGGAACAATGACTTTTTATGACTTGTGGACTTCAACTCCCAGAATTCTTGAGCCAGGCAGAATTCTGGGAGTTGAAGTCCACAAATCATAAAAGGGCCATCGTTCCCTACTCCTGCCATAAGGCATCGATACGCGTCTCGGCTCCGGCGGAATATCGTCAGTTCGAAGAGGCGGGACGTTTTGTGCTCCACCAATCCCTTTTCCTAGTGCGCGCTCGACTCTGACAATCTCGCTCAGAAAAAAAAAAAAAACCCTGCCTACTCGATTCCCCGGATTTCTTTCTTTGTTTTGCGGCACTGTCGTGAAGAATAAAGAGATTTGCCTAGAGCGGCATAACAGAAGCTCCTGCTTGACGGTCGGAGAGAAGAAACGGGGAGGGGGAGGTCTTGAGAAATCGTTTCGTTGTCGCCAGCGGGACTTTCGCCATGAGGCAAAAAAAGAAAGGTTAGAAAGGGGACGGGACAGAAGGGATATTGGTATGAAGCCTTCTAAAATAGATGCCCTCAAGAGGCATGGGATCGGGTGCGGGGCCGCGCTATCTGGGTATTCTGGGAAATGTAGTCCCACTACAGCTGGAACGCCTCAGTCTCGTGTACCCCGATAGGAAGTTGCGACCGAGATGGCTTATGATCGGCATCATTAGCACAAAAAGGAATAATTTCATCATGAAAATGCTTGTTGGGTGTTCAGAGACTTGAAGCATCCAGAGACCGTTCAGCGTCCAGGTTAAAGCATCCCAAGGAGAGAACAGTCTGTTTTCCACCCAAACACATCCACTGGAGGGGAAACTACCACACTCGATCACAATCTGCCCTCCCGTAATTTAAATCTATGATCCCAGATCTTGCCCTCTGGGCAGTAGAGAATCTGCTGGACCACTTTCAGGGGTTTAACACTGCTAATATATCCTGTTAAGCTCCAGGTTTCTTTACTCAAGACTTACTCCCAGCTCCTTCCATGTCTCTTCATAATTTGTGTGTGTGTGTGAGAGAGAGAGAGAGAGACCCTTTCAAGTCAGTGTTGACTTCTGATCTGGACAAGTCCCTGCAGTTTTCTGAGCCAAGATTTTCAAAAGTGATTTGCCATTGCCTGCTTCTTAGGTCTGGGAGAGAGTGACTGGCTCAATGTCATTCAGCTGACTTGGTGCCTAAGGTAGGATTAGAACTCGTGGTCTCCTGATTTCTGCCTACTGCCTTAACCATTACACTAAACTGACTCTCTTCTTACTTGATTTCTGATCGTCTGATCATTCTTGCTGCTTTTCTCTAATTTGTTCCACTTTGCCTTAATCCATATACTATGTAGTGTCCCAAACATAGTATTGATGGTAGGATCTGACTAAAGCAAAACAGAGTGGCTATTTCTGCCATTTGGAAATTACATTTCTGTTATGTTAATGCTGCCTAAAATTGCATTTATATTCTTCTGCAGCCCAATTACATTGTTGGTTTAGTTTATAATCTGTTCCTTGGCCTGGTAGGACAAGTATCACCTTTGCTATCTGTGCATTTGATATTTTTTCCACTTATCTTGCCTCTGTTAAACTGAATTTTGTAACTTTTGGTCCACTTCTCTAAAAAAACAAGGCTTTTTTTCAGTTTCCTTTTGGTCTTCTAGGTATTATCCCATCTCAGATTTCATATGCATTTCCTGCGTCATCTCCTCCAAGCCATTATTGAAAGTATTGAAAAGTATAAGGTCAAAGTTTGAACCCCATAGTACCCAATGTCAGTTCAGTTTGATAAAACTTGGTAAATGCTTAATGAGTATGATTTTCCAATAAGCTAGGCATTTACTTAATTGTCATATCCTCCAGTCCATGACTATTCTGTGTGAATAGTTCCTTAGAAAAGAATAAATGTTTAGGGAAAAATATAGTTCCTCCAAGAACTCTTTCTCTATTACCTTCCTTCTTGGAGCCTTTAAACATCCTTGAGGAAAGTTAACTAAGGGAGACCTAAAGTTTTCACTTCATTTTCTGCAGTATGTACTAGTTATCTTGCCTATTACCTGAAGACAGCATTTCCTCAACTCTCACATCATCTACTGCAGGGCAGGGCAGATGCCACATTGATTAGTACTAAGGACACTTGTGTTCTGTGACTCTGGTGAATAGGCTTTGAGAGAAGAGAAAGGCTATTCTGTCAGAGAGAGCACAAGTCAGTTTATAGTTGTATGTGAGATATCACTTTCGCACAGGCACTATCATAACCTTTTACTTCTATTTTAGGAGATTTCAGCCGAGCAGAACTCATGATGATGACTATAGCTGATGTCATCAAGCAACTCATTGATGCCCATGATGAGGGCAAAGATGTAAACTTAAACAAGTGAGTTATCTTCTATTTCTTCTTTGCTCTTCGACATTTTACAGTATCTGTCTTCCTCACTTTTTATGGGAAAGGCAATGCCCTGTAAAAGATTCGTATCAGAGGTTGTAGAGAGCAAACAACACTAGGTTGGAGTGAATACTAGTGTATCAGATTTTAGTAAATAGCAAAAGATAATTGGAGATAGGCTGTTCTACAGACCTCTATGCCACGAGTAGCTCTTTAATTGACCACCAACACCTTCAGTTGCACCCAAAAATCCACTGACAACCAAATCAGCTTGTGGTGTACCAGTTGTTTAGGCATATAGTAAGGTATGCACATCAGTACTTGTGCCACTGCATTCTAGACTACAGCTTATGAGTTAACATCACAGACAGCCCTCACGTACAGAGCAATGCCACCCCATCCAGAATGAAAAATAGACTTTCAGCTCTAGGCAATCCCCAAATCCTTAGCCACTCAGTCTTGCTAGATTGAGCTTAAGTTTATTCCTGTCTATCCAGAATCTAAGATGCTGAGATGGAAGCTTAAGAGTATCATTTGGCTAGCCCAAAGATTAAATAAGTGCAAATAACTGATATGTAACTCCTTGCCAATAGCCTCACCCAGTGGCTTTATGTAGATATTGAATAAGATCGGAGAGAGAATAAAATCATAAGACATCATCCAAAGGCAAGGATATAGGACTGGAGCTCTTGCCTCCTATTAGTATCACCTTTTTTGTACCTGTTGCAGTAACTCCAATATAATTGTAATGAAGAAAGACATATATCAAGGGTGTCCAATCTTGGCAACTTTAAGACTTGTGGACTTCAACTCCCAGAATTCCTCAGCCAGCTTTGCTGGCTGAGGAATTCTGGGAGTTGAAGTCCACAAGTCTTAAAGTTGCCAAGGTTGGACACCCCTGACATATATAATAGAAGCAAACTGAATCTTTCTGGTTATTATTGACCATAACATTAACAATTTCTTGCCAAGGCAAGTTTAAATATTGATGTGAACTGACATGAATTGAAATCCAAATCATCTGGAGAGCATCCGGTTGCCTCTCTCTATTATATAGTCTCTAAGTTGCATGGCTTTCAATTTTAGGATTAAAACAAGGACGGCTGCCAAGTATGGCCTTTCAGCACAGCCACGCCTGGTTGACATTATTGCTGCTGTTCCCCCTCAGTACCGCAAAGTGCTGGTTCCTAAGTTGAAAGCAAAACCCATTCGAACTGCTAGTGGGGTAAGTGTTTGTTTGTTTGCTTTCATGTACAAGGTCCCAGAGTCAATGATACGGATTTCCACTTGAAAAAGATCAGTACTTGTACCTGAGATCTTGGAATCTATTGCCAACCTGAATAGACCAAAGGAAAAGAAAATTTAACATTGCAAAATTCGTTTGTGTTTTCTTAAAATCTGATATCCACCCAGTTGTGCACAAACATAAAAATAAAATACATACTTAGAATTAAAGTACACAATGACTTTGAACAGTTGCTGAGCACATGAAATTGCTAAGAATGAGAACCAAATTTATTTTGTGTTGCTCTAAACAACTTTAAGAGGAAGTAATTTCATTGTTGCAATGAAGAACATTTGTTGCTGTGTGACAAAAAACCTCCCAGGAAATTCTGAGTTTGCCATCCCTAAAGCATTGAAGCAGATGGACTTTGTCCTGCATTAAGGTAATTTCTACTTTCTTCTGTAGTAATATTATGTTTCCCTAGATTTATATTTTTCCTAGGTAAATTGTTGATATTTTCTAATTAGTTTAACAGTTACTGTCAAATCATCAGACATGCATAGGGCTATGCCTGTTTTTTTAATTCAAATCCTTTTGAATTCAAAGCACCTATCTCAAAATGCCCCTCCTTAAATCATCAATTGCAAAAGTTGATTACAAAAAGACCAGATATTTAATAACTTCTCTGCAACACTCCTTTCTTTCAGATTGCTGTTGTGGCAGTAATGTGCAAACCACACAGATGTCCACATATTAATTTCACAGGAAATATATGTGTGTGAGTACCTAATAAGATGTCAGAATATCTTAAATACTTAGCCAAAATATAGATTTTCTTGTTGGCTTGTTTTTTTTGTAACTTTTTCTTGTTTAGAATCTTTTGCACTGGAATAAAAAATAAATATGAAGGAATGCATTAAGGTATTCCGCTTCATTGAAAAATAAATTCCTAATAATTGTAAGCATCCTTTTTAAAAATAACAGAGAGGCTGTGTTCTTTCTTTAGACTCATCTAAAATGAGGCTTGTGTGCGTATGTTATTTTTCTATAATTATGATGCCTGTTCTTGAAGACATAGGTGCACCACTTTTTTCAGGCAAATGGCTGAACTTGGCATTTGATGGTGTAACGAGTATTCCAAAATCAAAGATGTAGCCTAAATGTAACATTTTCATGTCAATTTACAAACTTGAAAGGACTCCAGCCATCTTTTAGGAAATAAAAATACTGGGTAACTGCAATTCAGTGCTTTTTTTTTTGTAAATGTGCTCCAGTAATGGATTTTTTGCAAGAAGTTTTTTTTTAAGTAATGTGGGCCTCGGACTTCAACCATGATTTGTGGAGTAGGGAACAATTTACACACAGGTTTGGTTTGCAAATTATATTTAACAATGGCTTTTCTAATAACAAACTATGGTTTATAACTATAATGGCTGTTGCAAATAACACACTGAACCAGTACCAAAGAAACTACATTATGCTGTAGCATATTACAGCCATGGATTTTTCTAGCAACACTCATTATCAACTTTGCCTTTCAGAAAATAATGTTGGGATTGTTTTTTCTAGTATATCTGAGGTTCCAAGCCACTCTTTGAACTGGAAGGTCTCTGATTCACTTCTTTCTTCTGTCTTGGAATTGGTCAGTAACCTACTATAAATTGAACTCCTTTCCTGGCACTGCATCATAGGGGCTGGATCTATTTAAGCCAATAGCCTGCTTCCTACAAGGGTCATTTGAAAGTTCATTGAAACAGTTCTTTTGCCTTCAAACATCTGTTATTCATTTAAATGTACACAGTTTAAGGGTTGCCAACCCAAGCTTTTAATTATAAGCTTAACCTCTAGCTATGATTTCATTTTCTTCTTGAAAATACAGATACTGTCCTGGAGGGCCTGATTCAGACTTTGAATATTCAACACAATCTTACACTGGATACGAGGTACTGCTCTCATGGACCTGTTGGTCCTATTTCAGGAAAAAACAACTTTACTATAAACCAGAATATCAAAAATATTGGGGGGGGGCAGTTTATTTTACATTCATCAAATAGTGATGGCTTTGGATTTTCTTTCTTTCAATATTTCACAACTGGACTTCTATCTGGTAATTACTTGTCTCAAGTGTGAGATGGTAATTTTTGAGATAATATTTTAGAAATTAAGTTAGAAATGAAGAGATGGTTAGGGGTACAGGTATGTATACCTTCTACATTGTTGTACTGATACTGTTAGATTCATGTAACAGCTTCCCCAACCCAGTGTTCTACTGGAGTATGTTGGATTTCAGCTCCCTTAATTCTCATCTAGAATGGACAATGCATATGGATGGCCTAAGTTCAAGAAAATACTTGAAGAATTACATTTGTGAAGTAATATATTAATTTATTAAGACTTTTCCAAATTATGCTTCCAAAAGTATTCCATTACATCTCCCATTGTCTTCAGTTAACATAGCCACTAAGAGTGGTCTCTGTTTTCAAAAAGACACTTAGCTTTTTATTAAATTGATAGCTGACTGAATCTGGCTATTTGCTAAAGTCTGAATATGAACTGGAAGCAACTTTTAAAAAATTATATTATATTGAGTTAGATACCTTTTTCCCTAACTCCTTAATCTATTCATCTAGTATATCCATACCACATACTTAGGATTGCTTTGAAAATGGAGATTGTACAAAATTATTTTACAATGACTCCATTACACAGATGGAGACTTATTTATGAAATCCCATTTGGACAGCATATGTGAAATTGATTTGCACATATCATATTAAAATTAATTCAGCTCTTAGAGCTAAACCCGAATCAGATACATACAATGCATACTACCTTCCAAAGTCAAGGATGAGGTTTCTAGAACTTTTCTGGACATTGCTACTTAAGTATGTGATAGAATTCATTATTAAATAGAAGAATGGTCATCTTGTTTGCAGCATGTAATTTACATTTACATTACATAAATTTTAGTTTATATACTGAACCTGTTCACTTTTTTAATATGCTGAAAACCATTTTTGACCAAGATTGAGTAATCCTCAGACCACTAAAAGCTATATCCTGATCTAGCAAAAATAAAATTTGACAGTACAGTACAGTTAGGAATTTGGATTTGATGTATTATTTTTCATCAAATCAGTATCAACTCTTAACAAACACATAGATTTTCTCAATCTGTCCATAATCTAAGAGTTCAAGTCTTCACGGAATACCATTCACCATTGTGACTGAGTCCATCCAACTTGCTAATGGTGGTTCTCTTCCTTCCACCTGTCCCATCATTAGAATCTTCTACATACCACTAAGTTTTTACATAATTGATGTGAAGTATTATAAGATAATTTGATCTCTATCATTTGTCCCTGGTGCGAGAGGAGTTTGAATTATAGATGCTTTAAAACAATCTTACTAGTTGTTTCCTAAGGAATATTGTTTTGTTTTCTTGTAGCCAACATCTATGAGAGCCATACGTGCCAGATATGATCCTTATCTCCAGACCAGACACCGAGTTGAACAAGTAAGGATTTGTTATGGTGGAAGAATGTGATGATGGGATAAAAATTAAGCAATTTAGTTCTTTGTAGCTAAATGCAAAGCTTAGTCTTCAACTATGTCCATGATCTTGGGTAGTAAAACCAACTTAGCATTCCTGGAGATTAACCAATTCACAAAAGATTCTTTCACATAGGAAAAGCATCAATAAAAATGAAAACTGAATCAAAAGGAAAATATGCTGAATGCCAAAGGGTTACAGTATGGCAAAGCTGGATTTGAAGCCCTGCACCCAAAGCATCTAGTAAACTTTTCCTTTCTCCCCACCTTTCCCTTAGTTATCTTTAACTGTCAAATTATATTCAAACAAATTGTTTTGCAACAGAGCCTGGCTTGGCAGGCTGGATGATATCACATTCCATTGCATGAACTTGGAACTGCCAGCGGCTCTCACATGGCACAAACAGTAGTTTCAATTCCCCTTTATCCCAGCCTCCCTTCTACCTCCCCTCAGCTTCCTCCCCCCATTGCCTATGGCATACTGGCATTGGTAAAGCATGGCTGTAGCAGGATGGCAGTCCTGACAATTACTCTTAGCTACTACAGCAAATCTAAAGTTTATCTAAAGATCAGGACTAGATTAAAAACTTCCACTAAACTCTGAACCTTTTTCATTGAAAAACAATCTCTTCAAGAGGGAAAGGCTCCCACTAATATGACCTATACTGCTTGGACTTCATAAATTAATATCAACTTCTTGAATGGTGACCTGCAGAGCTCTTATGCCAGAAGTTAAGCATTCTCCACCATGTTATTTCGTTCAAAAAGTTGTCTTACACTGAGTTAGACCACTTATTTTTTTTAGCCAAAGGTTATTTATATAACTTCCCAACAAATCTCTTACAGGGTGAGAAAGTAGTCTTTACAAGTTTCCAAATACTATTCAAAATAAATAAATGAATAAATATAATTTTTTTATTAAAATGTTGGTGTGGAGAAAGCAAGAGTACTCTAAAAATTCTATCCTATCTGTCCATACTCCTAGAATATCCTAGAACAATAATGATTAAACATAAGATTAAAGAGAGGCATAACATAATATGTGGTAGATTTTGGCCTGGTTCAAAAGACTTGATCTTATTTTTACAGCTGAAGCAGCTGGGCCACAGCATTGACAAAGTGGAATTCATTGTGATGGGTGGAACATTCATGGCTCTTCCAGAAGAATACAGAGATTACTTTATCCGTAATTTGCATGATGCCTTATCAGGCCATACGTCTAACAATGTAGCAGAAGCAGTCAAGTAAGTATCTTATGCAGCAGAAACTTTGGTGCATTGGTTAGTTTTCTATGTTAGTTTGCTTATTGTACCTGAGAGTTATATCATATGGATGTTCACAGTGAAAATTACCCTGGTGTCTTTAAATTTTTCTGGTGAGGTTTAAGATATTTTGAAATTTTTTTGTAAAAATCATTAAGACCAACAGTGATAACAGTGACTGACTATGGAAGCTGCTGTACTATTAACTTAAAAAGGGATCAAAAGCTTGTACAGAAGTTTGTTCCTGCTGACTAATTCCATTTTGTTGTCTGTACCATTGCTTATTCAAGAGGAAGAATGAGAACCAAGGCAAAAGTTAAGGGAAATGAGATATTTATCAGCAGATAAAAATTGATGAATAATTAAATAAGGATAGTCTCTATCCAAGAAATATTATTATTATAATTATAATTATAATTATAATTATAATTATTATTATAATTATTATTATTATTATTATTATTATTATTATTATTATTATTATTATTATTATTA